ATACGGCAATATGAGAAATTGACAGAATTGCTGTGGAGCACCTGCAGACGTCATTTACTAAACATGTGATTTGTAAATACTCTGCAATGAGTTACCGAGAATGTTGCAATGAACTTCACCTTGAACCACTTTGGATTCGACGATTGAAGCACAAGTTATTGCTACTTTTCAACGTGCTACACAAAAATACCTAATCCAACCTGTCTACACTCAATTTACAACATTGCTCAACTCGAGCCCTTCGCAATGAAGATTTTACATTGAATATACCGAAGGTTAGAACGAATGTCCCCTCTAATTTCTTCCTTATCAGATATTGCTATCTGTGGAGTAAACTACCAATAACACTCAGGTCGTATGACAATGTGGCAACATTTAGAAGCAAACTTGCCAATTACTTTGATCGGACTACCATAACCTCTATATTCACATGGTAAAATCCCTCGATGAGCTATTCCAAGAGGGCCCAAAAACATTTGGACACCAATGTTTACAAAATGAGGCTTTGGCCTCAACCATCCGCCAGAATGTTTATACATGAAAAGCATATCCCAATACTCCACCTGTGCATGTCACCTATGCAAGTGCATGAATACTTCCGTACAAAGTGATCTGTGCCACTATAGACACCTTTCTCTCATCAAGATTAATATACGTATTATTGTTATTACTATTATTATTATAACAGCTTTCCTTTCCTTTATCAGAATTGGTGGGTTGCTGAGTCAACAAGAACGACCAGTATACTCGACCTCATATTAACTTTGGGGGTCACAAATGCACAAACAGAGGTATCAGATAAGCTCCCTGATAGCAGCTACAAGATAATACCATTCACTTTCTGCGTCAAATCGACCTTTAAACATGCTTTTATTCCGTAATATGTATCCCATAGGATAAACTGGAAACAATTCAAACAATTTTTCCGATCAGCCGATTGGAACGCATTCTTCTTCTTTAACAATGTGTGCAATACCGTAGACTATTTCTACCATCGGGTCCATCAGGTCATTGCTGTCCTTAATCCTAATGAAGAGGGGACCGCACGTGTCCAAAAGGACGCCATCGTGCGTTCAGTCAGCTGGAAACACAAAAGACTAATTGCTGGATACAGAAAGACGGGAAGTTTCATCTTACTCTTACAGTAGCACAACATCCTAGACAGGGTCAAGTGCATACAGTTGACAAATCGGATACACGAAGAACATATGGCTTTACGAACGAAATGTAAAACGAAGGAATTTGTTAAAATTCTGCGTCGCAGAACTAATGACCACTCCCCTTGATCGACGGACCGGTTAATGCAGACGGACAGTCTCTTTATGATCCAGCCGACATCTGCGAAGCGTTTAGCTCAACTTGTGCTACATCCATGAGCCTGGAGACGACCCCGTTAAATGCAAGCATTGGAGTGCAAACAACCAACGCCCTGGGTAAGTTTGAAATTTTATTATTGCTACTCAACATTTAATGCATTATACAAAACCGTCTTCCCATCTGGATTCCGATGGTATCACACCTGTCGTTATTAAACTGGGAGGGTCTGACATGCTATTACTATTGCTGAATATGTTTACCCTTTTGTTGGAATCAAGCTACTTTCCAGACTAGTGAAAAACCTCGCTCATCATCCTCTGTCACAAGAGTGGCTCCAAACAAGCAATTAGTAGTTACCGGCCAATCCATCACACCCCTGTAGTAGCCAGAATATTAGAGAAACTGGTTAAGAATGGTGTGATGAAATTCATCAATTCGCTGGAGCTATTAGACAGGACTCAGCATGGTTTCTTGGACAAACGATCGTGCATAACCAGCCAATTACATCATTGAAACCATTTTTCGGATTTTATTGACTCAAGGTACGCAATCATACTTCTGTTCCTGGACATGTAAAAGCATTCGATCGAGTGTCCCATAAACGGCTGCTGAAAAAGATTGCTTCCTTTGGAATTCAGGACCCACTCCTAGGCTGGCTATTGTCATACCTGAGCGGCTGTTCTCAGGTAGTTACCATAACCGACCACCACTCCTAGTGGTGTTAATCAAGGGAGTGTAATTGGTCCGTTACTGTTTTTGCTCTACCTCAATGACATTAATGCGGTTATCAGTCATGGCATGTCTTTCCTATTTGCAGATGACATACTGATAGTCTACAAATTCCGACAAGCTGAACTTCAAGATACACTACTGCACATAGAGGAAGACCTCCACTCCCTTGAGAAATGGTGTGACACCTGGATGATGAAGTTCTCGGCGAAAATCTGGGAATCATGTATCGCGGCTGTTCGATACCCGAGGGATCAATTACACTCAACGGCGAACACCTTTGCGTACAGCTGTCTACCCGCGACCTCGGAACCAGGTATTCTTGCACCTCCAACTTTTTTGAACAAGTGGAATAGCGGCTGGCTAGCGCCACCTAATCAATAGATAATATACGACATGAGATCCACATAATCCCAGCCAGAGTAGAACTCCGCAAAATCTTCACTAGCCCCATTTTGGAATACTGCAGTATCATTCGTGCCAGCATGAGGAAATCTGAGAGAGTATCTGTGGAAAGCATACATAGATCATTTACCAAACGTCTACAAGGCAAAACAATCCCTAAGAACTATCAGGAGTGCTGCCAACTATTCCAGCTCGATATGCTTTGGCAACGAACATTGAGACATAACCTCATGCTTCTGTATAACATGATTCATCAAAACGTCCAATGCTATTTGCCCTCCCTAAGACTAGAAGATAATTCGACAAGGGAGCTATGCAATAAGGAGTTTACGCTGAGTTTACCCGGGTGAAGAGTAAATCTGCGGTCTAACGTTTTCCTTATCAGTTATGCTGTTCCGTGAAAGAAGCTCCCTGTCACAATCAGATAGTGTGAGAGCGCGACGGCCTTTCGCGTTAAGCTCTCCAATTACCTAGATTTGAACACGAGTATGACCCTGCTCTCGTGGGAGAGAACAATTGATGATTTGTATCAAAAAGGGCCGGACAACCTAAAATGAGTAAAAAGCATTCGCATACTGTACCATGACACCCCTAGTGCCGTTGCGATCCACTATTTCAACTAGTGTACATTGTGCGAAACACACCTGTGAGTTAATATAAACCCTTGAAACAGCAAAAGCGATGAAAATCACATAAATGTTTACTATTCAGGAATGAGCATGAGATATTCTGTAAAATATGATCTGCACCAAATATGGCCACAATTTCTCACTCGATCAGAAATATACCTATTTTTATTATTATAAATAAAATGTGCATGTATAAATGTAGCAGGTTAAGAGTGTTTAAGGTAATTTCTGCTCTATTCATCATTATTCTTAAGGCTACTGTTGACCTGCTATTCCACTGTACCATCTTGCGCTCAGCATTTATAGGTTTCGTGGGTCCGATCCACTCCTGCCTCGCATGGAGCGGAGTGTGTAATGAATTCCGTACACTGTAAAGTGGCCCTCAGTGCATCAAAAAGTCAAAGTCTGGGCCTCGATCAGAAATTCATTATTCATAGAACGCAAACTCATTTTATATCTCGAGTCAATTAGAATCATTCGCAGAACAAATCTCCTTTCTATTACATTCTCAGCCAGCGTTCGAGTTTCGTTCAATGTCGATCCAAATCGATTGCATGCTAGCCTTCAGTTCGCCTCTGCAGCGATTGACCAGCTTTCAGACCGTTGACCCAAAATCGTTAAGCTCGACCGATCGCTATGCAACGGGCATCTAAATGTAGTGTCTTACCATCACATCCTTCCTTTTTTCGTTTTTTTTGTAGTCCGATTACGTAAGCGCTGTATCGCCTTCCACTGCGTGTAGTCTTGTGGTCGTGTGCTGCCGTATCCACCGAAATGTCCGGCTGCGTTGGCTGCTTCGCACGATGCCGTGCTTGTTCACCACGTTGTCTCCTTAACTGCACCCGGTTGCGTCGAAATAGACTATCCCCAACTCTTACGTCGTAGCTTCGTTCGCCTTTGAGACCTTCTACTCGCCCTCTCCTCCAAGACCCGTTAGCTCCCGGTGTCGGCGCGACCCAGACCTCGTCTCCGGGCAACAGGCGTGGAAGCTGCTTCGTTCCGCGATCGTAATATTTCTTTTGTCGAAGCATGCGCTCACGCAAGCGCTCATACATCAAGCTCTGCGATGGTATTTCAGGCTGCAGCAGAGTATTGGCGATCGGCAACAGGGTTCTTGTCCTACGGCCAAACAGACGTTGCGCTGGACTGCATCCAATTTCGGCAGATGGCATGTTCCTTCGTTCTAACAACATGATGTAAGGATCTTCTTTGGTCTCCTTGGCTTTGGTGAGTAACTTCTTTGCTTCCTTCACGGCTGACTCAGCTTTTCCATTTGACTGACTGTGGTAAGGGCTGGTTAAACGATGAAGGAAATCCCACTTTTCGCTGAAACTCCGAAATTCGGCGCTGTTGAATTGGGGGCCATTGTCGGACACTACCTCTTCCGGTATCCCATGTCGCGCAAACTGCGATCGTAGCTTGTTTATCACGGCCTGTGTGCTAGTAGACGTGAGAGCATCAATCTCGAAATAGTCGCTAAAGTAATCGACAGCGATCAGGTAATTCTTTCCGTCATGTGCAAAGATGTCTAGGGCGACTTTCTGCCACGGCCTTTCCGGGACCTCACGAAGCATCATAGGCTCCTTCGGCTGGCGGACATCATGTGCTCGACAGGCTAAGCAGTTTGAAACATGATCCCGTATCTGACTAGTCATTCCAGGCCAAAACATTAGCTCTCGAGCTCTCGCCACGCAAGCATTGACTCCTGAATGACTTCCGTGTATCAGCTCCAGCATGGGTCGTTGCATTGCCTTTGGAACGAGTATACGGTTGCCTTTGAAGATTAGCCCATCCTGTGTGACAAGTTCATCCCGAAAGTTAAAGAAGGGAGTCAACTCCTTTGGCAGCTTGTTTTTACTATCGGGCCACCCTTTCAGTATCGTTTCCTTGAGCCGATTACACAGCTCGTCTGCTTCCGTGTGGCGTAGTAGTTGCTGGAAACGCTCCTCTGTGACGGCCAATAGCTGAGTGACATGGACAATGTCTTGGTCTTCTTGCGTTGCGGTCACATCGGAAAGATATGCCCTAGACAGTGTGTCTGCAATGTACATCCTCGACCCCGGTTGGTAGACGATGTCTAGGTCGTACTTCTGGAGCCGAATGAGCATTCGTTGTAAGCGGCGTGGGACGACGTGCAGTGGTTTATTGGCTATTGATACCAGAGGCTTGTGATCGGTAAATACAGTGGTCCGGCGACCAAAAGTGTAATCGTTGAAACGCTCTACGGCATAAACCAATGCTAGCATCTCCTTTTCAATCTGTGCATAACGGCGCTCGGATTCCGTTAGTGTCCGACTGCGAAAATCGATGGGCTTCCCGTTCTGCATTAGCACGGCACCGATACCGAATTGGCTGCTGTCACACTGGATCTCAAGGGGAAGTGACGGATCGTAATACGCTAGGACAGGGGCGCACGCGATCAGTTGTTTGATGTTCTGGAAAGCCTCCTCCTGTTCTGTGTTCCACTGCCAGCTCTCGCCCTTATGTGTAAGTTTTCGGATAGGAACCATTACTTCGGCTAGTCGTGGAAGGAAGCGGCTGAGGTAATTCACCATCCCGTTTAGTCTGCTCACGGCTTTAACATCTGTCGGAGGTGGCATCTCTTTTATGGCTCTAACTTTCTCCGGATCTGGCTTTAGACCTTCTGCGCTCAAAACATGTCCGTGGAACACCAGCTCTGTTTTTCGTAACTCAATTTTCTCACGTTTCAATCTGATATTCTTGTCTTTACAGCGTTCTAGAAATCTGCTCAGGTTACGGTCGTGCTCTTCCAGAGTCGCCCCAAAAACCACTACATCGTCTGCTACACAAATAGCTCCGGGTAGATCGTCTAGGGCCTGCATTAATCGTTTCTGAAAAATTTCACTGGACACTTTCAAACCGAATGGTAAGCGCAACCACCGAAACCGTCCGAATGGCGTTCCGAACGTGGTTAAATAACTGGACTCTTCGTCAAGCTGGACGTGCCAGAAAGCGGAAGCGAGGTCGACCTTCGTGAACAATCTGGCCTTGGACAACTCGGGTAAGACGTCATCTAGCGTTGGTAGTGTAAAATACTCTCTCCTGAGTGCGGCGTTGAGCGGCTTAGGGTCGATGCACACACGCAAATCGCCTGACTTCTTGGTGATTATCGCGACTTGACTGACCCAATCGGTTGGCTCATCGACCTTGGCAATCACACCTAAACTGATCAAACGCTGCAACTCGTCTAAGAACTTCTCACGCAAAGCGATAGGTATTTTTCTCGCTGGTAGTGCTACTGGTCTAGCGGACTCGTTTAACGACAGGTGAGCTACGCCTTGGAATTTTCCCACGGTACCATCAAACACACTGGGATAGTTGTCTACGATCTCTGTCCCGACTTCGCACGAGTGAACGAAACGATCATGATTAAAAGAAACAAAACCCAAACTCTGAATGGAATCAAGGCCCAGGATGGGCATAAAATCTCCTGATACCAGGAGAAAATCAAGTAAATGCTCGGAGCCATCCTTCGGGTTTATGGCCTTCATGGTAACACAGCCCTTCGGTTGTAACTTTGATCCGTTCCACATTCTGAGCTGTGTCTGTATTTGGCGGTATTCTGCATCGGGACAGTATTTGTGAGGAAGTATGTTCACGCTTGCTCCTGAATCCAATTGGAATCGCACCGGACGCCCTTGAATAAGCAACGTTGCGAATACACAGACTGGTCTCTCACGTCCTGTCATGTTGTTAATAGCCAGTTCCTGCGGCTCTTCCTGATCGTCCTGCCCGACTGAGTCGACTTTGGTTGCCTGACAACAACGTGCAAAGTGGTTCTTCTTCGCACACTTCATACAGGTTCGGCCCCATGCTGGACAATCCTCTTTGCGCCTTGGGTGTGAGCGGCCGCAAAACTGGCATTTGGGTTGATTCGCGCTCGATGACTTCGATACAATTTCTCGGCCTCGGGATACTGCAAACAGATCCGTCGTGGACTCCATCTTGAGCTGCTGAAACTGTTGAGCCGTCCTTGATTCGCTAAAACAGATATCGATGCAATGTTCCAGAGACAGGTTTCGCTGTCGCAAAAGGCGTCTGGAAAGTTCCTCATTCTTTATGCCAATTATAATTCGATCGCGGATCAGCGAATCTCGTAAACAGGTGCAAAAATTGCAATCCCGCGCCAGAATTTTCAGCTCCGTGATGTATGCGTCGATTGATTCACCCGGCAGGCGATTTCGGCTGAAAAACAGATACCTTTGGTAAGTTTCGTTTGTGTAACCTTCGCAAAACTCGCCGAATCTGCGTATTACTTCATCCAGCTCCATCTCCTGAGTTCCATCGCTGAGATCCAACGTTTGCAGCGTCCGCCTGGCTTCGTCTCCAATGGCATGCCTGAACATCGCCAGTTGATAGGCCATTGGCTGAGAATCCAACTGAGTCAGTGTTACAAAGTCTAGCCACTTCGCCTTCCATATTCTCCAATTCTCCGGCAACGAACTCTCGGTCATTTGCAACGGAGCTGGCAGCGGAATCGTTGGTTGTCCACCAAACGCATGCGGGGTTCGGCGTGTCTTCTTGTCCTCTGTCGCCATGTAAAGTGGCCCTCAGTGCATCAAAAAGTCAAAGTCTGGGCCTCGATCAGAAATTCATTATTCATAGAACGCAAACTCATTTTATATCTCGAGTCAATTAGAATCATTCGCAGAACAAATCTCCTTTCTATTACATTCTCAGCCAGCGTTCGAGTTTCGTTCAATGTCGATCCAAATCGATTGCATGCTAGCCTTCAGTTCGCCTCTGCAGCGATTGACCAGCTTTCAGACCGTTGACCCAAAATCGTTAAGCTCGACCGATCGCTATGCAACGGGCATCTAAATGTAGTGTCTTACCATCACATACACAAATTGCCGGTCGTGGACGAACGGGCCGAGCTGGAAACAGTTCACAAAATGAGTATTAAGTTTGCGACAAAATCACGTGATGTTAGTGCTCGGACAAGCATAGGAAGAACAATGATATCTGCACGAAGCGTTCAGCAGGGCACCGGACCGCTCCACAGGTTCAAATAAGTGTACATTTGAACAACAGACAAATACAGCGAAACGAATTTACAAGAGGATGAATCAACGGACTCATATAAAGGAATAATAATAAAAGCAGTCAACCTAAAGTCGTGGAGTAGTAACTCCAATGGCTCATCTCCGTTTCGATTTTGTCACACATCTTGAATCCAACGGTGGCGCTGTGTGTGTATATCGCGTGTGTGTTGTATCAGACAAATAAATGCAACGTACATATCAGTGCACTACAAATAACCTTTAAGTGCAAAATAACGTACTTTTATTTAGTATTTTACACAACGCACTCAAGTAATCCGGGAGAATCTCCAGACTGCTACACGTTTTTTCTTTGGACTAGTGTATTAACAGTCATCGTTAGAGTAGGAGATACGTTTAGCTGATAAACGGATGAAGTCGATATGGCAATCGTAAACGAGAGGGAAGTGGGTTAGGCCTTAATGAGAGGCAGTTGGGAAGGAATACGAGCGGCGGAATAAGGGAGAACGGGAAAGCGAAGTACGGGGGTTGAAGTGCAGTAGAAATACACTATGTCTATGTCTATAGACTTGTAAAATGGTTCAAAAGGCAACTATGCGAGAGTGACCAACAGGCTGGAGAATCCGTTTATAAACCCTATGCACCAAGATATCCGAAAAAGAATCCTGAATGCAGCAGCAGATACGCGACGGGGTGGCGTTATCCGCAGTCCCTGTAGCTGCGTTATCCAAGACTCCACATTTCAATCGGGTGCTGACACATTGGATATGTAGATATGAGATTATCATTTAAGTAAAGAATCAGTGAGTCTATTGGGGACATATCGAGAACACAGAGTTAAAAACAGTTCAGCAGCCTTGCACCGTTCAATTTCAAATTTCCAACGGGTCAAAATGCATTTGGATTAAACCCCCATATAGTCAGCTGAGAAAAGACAAAGGAACTCAACTCAAGTAAAGTAAAGATACGCTTTGCAATAATAATCCTAAATAAGGTGACAGCTGTAGGCCGTAACGGCGCTTCGCTGCTGTGTGACCACCACCAGTCGAAAGCCGGCTAAGTAAACCGCGATTACGCCCACCCCTACGTGGATTCGAACCCGCGCCACAAGATTCCGAGACAAGCTTGTCACCACTAGGCTACGGGCCGACCAGTATGGTTCGTACGCACGTCAAGAACATTTTCTTCGATTTACACTAACAATGCGGAGATGGTAAAAGAGGGAATCGGTAGGAAACTAATGCTGTGGCAAGAGAAGCAAAACTACTTCATTTGAAGCAAGCAAACGCTTTGGCAATTGACACGCTAACACTTTTCGTTAGACTAACAAACGAAACATATGAAGCAAGAGGAAGTAGCAATCAGACAGGGAAGGTAAAAACAAATAATTCAATTTATATTCCCAGTGTTGCACGAGGTACGCTAACAAGGCATGATCAAATACGTCCAAGCAAATCTGCGACGATCAAAACCTATCTCTAAAGTTCGAACACGTGTAAGTAATGCACGCCATACTCGCTAAAACTGGGGTGAGAAAGGTCGATTAGAATCTTGGATGAGGAGTCAACGTATGCGCCAAAATCCTTGCTGACCACAAACTTAATGAGAGGTTCTCTGCTCAATCCAGAGCACTGGGAAATAAATTTTGTGAACGCCCAAGAAGGATATAATACTTCGAACTACTGGTAGCTCGAGTTGATGAATCAGTTGTTCGTTTGTTCTCCGAGCTTGGCTGTTTTGTCCCAAACGTTTCAGCACCATGCGAGGTGGCATCCTCAGTGCAGTGATATGCGGCGTGAAATCTTACTGAATGAATCCTCCATCGATGATCGACCTGCAGGTGAGTTTTGAAAGTGGCAGTGTCGATTCACGTCCCGTGACCTCTACCCACTTTCCTCCAGGCTAAACTCGGCGCCCAAGTTGTTCTGCCTTAAACCGCGTGACGAAAGTTTCTTTATTTCTTTCTGTCGTAGTGGTTCGTACATTGAATCAATGTCCACGCGCATGTCGATTGAATGTTTCGTTGAGAACCAAGCTTCCAGGAATTCTCTTTCTTTTCTTGTTTCACCCCGTGCCAGGACTTCTGCTTTGCTCCAACCGAAACTATGTCCTTCATCTACATGCAATGAAACTAGAGACGATGCATAATGCTTTACACAGGTTCTTTTATGTTCTTCTATCCACTACGGCAGAAAGAAATAAAGAAACTTTCGTCACGCGGTTTAAGGCAGAACAACTTGGGCGCCGAGTTTAGCCTGGAGGAAAGTGGGTAGAGGTCACGGGACGTGAATCGACACTGCCACTTTCAAAACTCACCTGCAGGTCGATCATCGATGGAGGATTCATTCAGTAAGATTTCACGCCGCATATCACTGCACTGAGGATGCCACCTCGCATGGTGCTGAAACGTTTGGGACAAAACAGCCAAGCTCGGAGAACAAATGAACAATGGAAGGAAATCAACCTTTGAACATCTCCGAGAGAAAACGACCGCGGAACAATACAACCAATGGAAGAGCATCCATGCAGTAACGGACTCTAAAGTTAGAGCACTTGGTAAAGCGAGCACGTTGAGTATGACGGAGTAATAGGATAGCCTAGTGAATTTTTATAAGTGTTTCGAGAATATGTATCTGCCGGAAAAATGTTAGGACAAATTAACACAGAGATACTTTAAGAATTATAAATCAGAGATGATTTGGTCACTCAAGACCAAATGAGGAGAGCTGTTCAAAAATGAACGCAGACTCCTTGTGCAGAGAAAAGCGAATGTGATGTGACGAAAATTATAAATCTTGGGGATAAGGGAGCAGGGATTTGGTGGAGTCAAGGGTTCGTCTAATTCCTTGTTGGTGGCTTGAAGATTACAAAATTTCTGGAGTAAAACACTCAGCTCGATGTCACCAGCGTATTTACAGCAGATGAAACTGGTTGGTTTGGGCATGCGTTCAACACAGTTGAAAAACAGTAAGAACGACAGAATCGTTCTTTGCTACATCCCACAATTGGCTTGGATTGCGAAAGACCTTGCGCAGTCTAACTGCGTGAAGCACGTGCGACTCAGAAACTGGTCACTCATTGCATAACACGCATATACAGAAACGCTGTTGTAGAAAAACACTCAGAAGCAATGAGTTGTCAAGGTTCCCAAAGGCATTAGTAAAATCAAGGAAAAAGGCTGCACAAGATTGCATGTCTTATCCAAAGCAGATGGAATGGAATGAACTATTTACGTAACGGTATTCTTTGTAGAGCTTGCTGAGTTGTGTGCAAAAGTTTTGATGTCATTCTTATGAGTGCTAGTAACGACTCGGCAAATTAGCACTTTTTCAAATTCCTTCAGTATCAAGGAGGTGCACCTTTTAGCCGATAATCCCGTGATTTCTCCTCAACACACATGTTATTCTGTCTGCTTTTTAGATGTCGGGGATTGTGCTAGTGGTTATAATTGAGTAAAAATCGCTTTCAAAGGTGACTGTATTTGCATCCGTACACTCTCAAAACGATTGAGGGCGGAGAATCAAGGTTACCAGCCATCTGTCGTGAAACTTCATCGCAGGTCGATTCAGGCAAATAGCCACCACACATCCAGCAAAGGGCTAGACAGCCGTTTCGTCTCTTTGGGTCTCCACAATAGCACGCACCTGCGGAATCCCGCCGGATTTGAATCCACGATCTTGCTTTTGCGAGCCACCGACTTATGCCACTGAGCCATGGACGACGGCAACGGATTGCCATGACTGATATCTAACTGCGATATAGCGCGCCTTATCCTCCATCTACCCCTCACAAATAACCACTAATTGTCGCAGCAGGTTACATGATACGTCCATTGGTGCCGGCTTGCAAAGGAAGTCGTTGTTCTGGGGACCCTCCCTCACTTCTGCACGTTCATAGTATACATGACATTGGAGGATGAGCAGCGCTATATGGCAGTCAGATATCAGTCCTGGTGGTCCGCTGTCGTCACCCATGGCACAGTGGCATAAGTCACTGGCTCGTAAGTGAAAGATAATGAGTTCGAATCCGGTAGAATTCGACAGCCGTGCTACCGACTAATCCAAATTGGACGAAACGGCCGGCTAGCACGTTCCTGAATGTGTGGTAGCTGTCTGCTTGAGGTTAACTGCGACAAATCTTCACAAAATCCCTATAAATCCCCCTACTTGCAAATAGCCGCTAGCCTTGTCTGGCTTCAATCTTGTGATTTCCCGTTAAAAACTGATGTGGTCAAATAAGTAGGGAGGATTAGTCATGGGAAACTAATTTTGGGGAAGGTTTGCTTATGAGAAGTTATACTGTGCGTTGAGCTTGCCCAAATCCAGCGCACCGAGTGGGCTGCTAACATTTTTGTCGGTGTTGCATCCAGCGCCTCCACAGGTCATAACAACTGTGATTTCTTAAAACTGCTTCAATATATAGGCTGTTTAAGCTTTTTATCTCGGCTTTTATAGCCACAGCCAACAAATTGACATGGGCCTTTAGCCCCTTTTTGGAAGTTGTTGCTTGAGTAGGGATGCGGAAACTCTATCGACCGGATGATAAATGGTCTCGATGTGGCGTCAACGATTGAAACACATGTTGATACACTCTGTGAGGTTCTCGTATTTAGCTGACAAATTCTCATTGAAGAAAAGTGAGAAGTCGGTTTAATTGGGTGAGGATTTGAGCTTTGCAATGTTTTTCGTCGACTAGCTTCGTCGCTTAACAGTTCACAATGGTTTGCTTTCCATCGTAACGTAGTTAGCCCTACAATAACTTTTTGGGCGTATCTTCACGATGCAGAATTTCGAATTGCCAAGATGTGGAAAACAGGTTGTTATTTATTAAAAACTACAT